CTTCCATCTCCATTAATAACAAAAAAAAATCTGAAGTGCACATATAACATTGTAACACAAGCAATACTCATAAGTTATTGATATTTGATGAATAGCAACAAAAAAAAAAGAAGGATGATTGTAGATGAAGAAGCCTATCGATATTTGATGAACAACAACAAAAAAAAGGATGATGTAGAAAAAGTACAGAAAAAAAAAAACAGCAACCAAAAAAAAGAAAAAAGAAGGAAAAGTAGAAACAGCAATTGCTTGGTAATAAGGCAGACGTGCAAACCCTATTTCATTTTCTTAATAAGATAAAGATGTTGTAAGTGTATAGGCAGGCAGCTCGTGAAACAGCAGCCTAATATATGACGGCAACAATAACTATTCAACTATTCATACATGATGTGCATCGAATACAAGCAACAGCAATTGCTTGGATATATGATGATGTATAGTGTTGGCGCTAAAACTGATTAGATAGAGATGAGTGCAACTTACAAGTGATGTGGACGATCGAGAGATCGATTGAGCGTTGGATGCGGATTCTTCCTGTCCATGGATGCTGATCCTGAATAGAAGGAAGCCGAGACTCGTAAGGTCTATGGATCCGGTGTGGAACCAGCCTAAGACCCTTCGATGTCAAAGTAAGATTGTTTTTTAAGAGCTTTTGCTGTTAACAGGATATTAATATAAAAGTCAAGCTGAAAAGTCTTACCCTTGTATTGTAGTGAAGGGGCCTCTTTATATAGGGCATTTTGTATGCTCTTGGTACTTAATTTCGATGTGGGACTCGTGGGAGGGCCCTATGAGGTTGACACGAGTCCTTAGATATTTCGGGCGGGTGCTTCGAGGTTGATTCTGCAGAAACGGTAGGAGATACCGATTGTAGACTATGCTGGGCCTGTAGCGACCATTTGCTGCTTTGAGACAATATCATCGGTAGCCGATGCTGATTGTTCGGAGCCTTGGGCACTTGGGGAGTTTCTCTGGTCCACGTGTCATTGGATGAGTAGAGGGTCAGATATGGTACAAACATATAGCAACAGCAATTATTCAAGCACTGGAAAGCGTAGAAAAAGAGAAGAGATTTTTTACCTTTACTTGACAAGCACACACGTTCAAGGACTGGAAAGCGTAGAGCACGTTCAAAGTTTCTAGGGTTCACATAAGATTTGTCAAAGCCTTTTGTATTTGTACTTACCACTTTATTTTCTAACGAAATCGGGCAACTTATTAATTTCTTCAAAATAAATTACCTTTTGAATACACTTAAATTTTGTTTGACTTTTAAAAAGTCATAATTGAATACACCTAGATTGCGATGTATTTTTTTAATAAAAATTGAAATATGAATTGAATACACCCAAATTTTTACAAACTCTTTTAAAATATGAATTGAATACACCCAAACTTTTAAACTCTTTTAAACTCTTTTAAGGACTAAGCTAATCAGCTAACTAATCTGCTAACAGATGCTAACAGACTGACAGCTAAGATAAGATAACAACTCCTAATTAAAATGCCAGATCAGCAATTACATTTAATCTCATGTCTTAATATCTAACATATACTCCATTGAATCATCAAATGATGGTAACTTTCCTTTTGGGCAATGTGCAGATTATGAGGGAGATGCGTTTCCTGAAACAAATCCCAGGCCCAAACGCATCTCCCTCATAATCTGCACATTTCCTGATATTTGTTTTGCAGGTGCTGGAAGGTAATTGCTGTAGAAAACTTGCACAACTTGAGTTTTACGGCTCTTGATTTATTGATTGGCTTAGGTTTTCATCTGAAAGTTTAACATGGAATTGTGCTTTATGTCACTCAGCTACACAAATTCTTTCCACCGGTTGATATGGTATTCAGTAATGGACAGAAGTTATCATTGTCTCCAGAGAACTACATGTTCCTGGTAACTGGATAATTTATTGTTCTTGAGCTTTTCTCTTATATACCATTTTATCTCGGAAAATGCTAGGGAGACCAACTTGGGAGACCAACTTGGGATACCAACTCTCTAATAGAGCGTGGGACCCATTGTATTGGTGGGCTCCACCTCTATTAGAGAGTTGGTACCCAAGTTGGTCTCCCAAGTTGGTCTCCCTAGCATGACCCTTTTATCTCTTATATCTCTTATATCCCACATTCCCTCGTTTCACTTTTCTCCCTCGATCACATTGCACATGCATTACGTGTGCCCACGATCCTTTTTCCATCACTGTATTTATTAAACATGCACATCTTGATGTATTGTATTTTCTGTCCTCTGTTTCACATCATGTGCCCTTACATCTCAGAATACAAATGTTAGCGGCGCTTATTGCCTAGTAATTTTCGAAAATGAGGATTCAACTACTATTTTAGGAGATATGTAACAGTTGCAAAATCACTCATCTCATATAAATGTTCTGTTATAAATAGTGGAAGTGGAGCCCACAATCAATTATGAAGTTTGAAAATGAGGCAAAAAATTTCACTGTACACTCACGGATGAAAGTGATGGTTTGAAATTGAGGCAGAAACTTTGCACTGTACACTCACGAGAAAACTTCAGAAGCGCCTATAAATAGGCATGTTCGTTCATTTGTAATGTACACCATCAGAAGAGAAGAAAGAAAAGGAGAGTGAGATTTGAATATTATTGAGTGAGTTTCTATTTGAGAGGAGATTCAATCTGTGCAAACGCCACAAGAAAAGATATAATTCCACTATCATTTTTCAGTGGTAATTCCATACTCTAATTATTTTATTTTATAACACGTTATCAGCACGATAGTCTCTCCACTGTTAAATTTTCTCAGCTCAACACTATGTGGTTATTTCTCTTTCTCCTCTCCGTCATATGTCTCCTCTCACTTTACTACTACGACGACATGCAAACTTTCTTTTTTGTGTTCTCACAATTTTTGTGTTGCTTCATCCATGTTTGCTTAATTTATTTCTTTGTAATATAATTTGGAATGGCGCGGTTTTATACCCCATTATGTTGTTTTATAGTGGTGTAATTTTCATTACCCATCGCGTTGTAACACAAATCATCATATAATATTATTATAGTATGATTTTTTTTTTTTTTAATGCATACATATTATATAAGGCCCACGTAAACTTTACTGGACTATGATAATATACTATTATATTATATCATTTGATTGTGGTGTTAATAAGAACCCACCAATAACATTATGAACGGTTTCACCTCATATATTTTTAAGTGGTGGTTTTATTCCCACACTTATTTTATTTACTGTATGGTGTAGGTTTATTACCCATATGACAGTATTTATTTAAAGTGTGGAGCGGGTTTATCGTCCACACAACTGCCTTTTATTTCTTTTATTTAAAAGTATGGAGCAGGATTAGTGCCCATACAAGCACGTTTACTTTACCGCACATTTACTTTCATTTAAAGTATGGTGCGGGATTAACGTCCATACAGCAAGCAATTTACTTTATGAATTTACTTTACTGCACATTTACTTTCATTCAAAGTATGGTGTGGGTTTATCGTT